CTGCTGTAGCTGAACCCAGGACACAAGGAAATGTTTGGGCATTCATTTATATTTTTCTTTTCAGGTTGGGATAATTCTCCATTATTCCACTCTTGCGACAGTACTTTGGCTGGGAGTGACATCTCGTAATATTTACAAGCAGGTAACCAAAAAAGCAAAAAGATGTCAAGATCCTGATGAGCCACCTCCTCCACCCAGACCAATGCTGAGGTGAGACTGCTTCTGCAACTCACTATTTCCCAGGTTGCCGAGCTTATATTCTTATCAGAAAATGTAACAGGTCATTGCTCACTTTACTCTCCAGAAGTTCCATAAAGTTCCTTCTAGATTTTTCTGTTCCTCAGCATTGTGTTAAAGAGGTGAAGGACAGCCGATCTTAAACTATTGCTGTTGCAGTGCTGTGTGTGTGATTTGTAAAATAAGAAATTGGTAACTTTTCAACATCACCACTGGGACTTTGATTAGCACTTTGGATAGCAACACTTCCCATGAAATTATCAGAGAAAAAGGAATGTGTAGAATTGCTGTCACACAATTAACAATAAACACTGTAATTTAAGTAAATAAATAAAGTTTAATATGTTTTTTTTACAAATGATTTGAAAAATAGGTATCACACTTTATCAAGTGAAAATACAGTTCTTTGTGAAGCATTCCTCTTAGAATTTTACTTCTGAGATCATCAAAATAGGACAAACTAATGATCTGTGTAATTCATCCTATGTGGAGTATTTTTAGTAGAAAAGAGTAACACTGTTCATGTAGCTTAGTGAGCTTCTGGATGTTAATTTAGAACTGCTAAGCTGGAATTCTCCACAAGGTGGCAGAAGGTGATTAACTTTGATTAGTTACAGGCACATACACGGAAAGCTTCATTTCCAAGTACAGAGACTGCAGAAAATAAAAAATGCTTTTCTGAACATCATAAAATTTGCACTATTACATATAAGCATATACAAATATTTAATTGATAAGTTAGAAGGTAGAAGGTTAATATTCGTAGCACTTTTAAGCACTGCCTTTGCTTTCCTTAATTTTTACTGTTTTGTTTTTTTTAAGGACAAGTAGATCTGTTGTATTCACTGTAGGATATCATGCCCATTGCCAACTGTGTGCCTTCCAGCAGGGTATTGAGTAGCCTTTTAACACCTGTTGTGATTTTTTTTTTTTATTTTTCATCCCTTGTTTGTCATGGAGTTCTTGCTTTGGGAAATGTTACAGTAATTACCAGCCTCACATGGTCAGCTCTGCATAGACATAAACATACCATTTCAGATCTAGACACCTCATCTGCGACAATGTCAGTGACTCTTAAGACAAGTATCAGATCAGAGCAACCAGGCTTCATATTCTTCAGATTTTTCTCAGTGTCCAGCTTCTTTCAGATCAGGGATTTCCACAGTCGGAGTGATGCATGATGTTTTTGCATGGAACAGCCATAGAAGGATTATTTTTGTTTGGTTTGGAGTTTTTTTCATTCAGTTGTCTTTTAAATTTATGATCAAAACAAAACTATCTGTGGTGGCATAGGGCAATGTTTTGTGCAAGAACTGGTCACCCACTGTTATCAGGTCCTCTATTTCTGGAATTTGGAGGGACAAAACAACCAATTCTCTGTTGCCTCCACACTGTTTATATTCCTCCTCTGTATGCCTTTTAAGAATTACAAAAGGTATTTTGGAACATTAAAAGCCCTGATAAATGTGTGTTAAGTACACATTTTTCTACTTATTTGCCATGTGTAAATTATCCTGCTTTGTGTTTTTTCGGGTTTATAGAAGTCCACCTTGCAGGTGATAGGTAGGCATGACGTTTACACTGATTTTCAGTTTCTGTAGATATTTTCTGAAGGTGCACTCCATACCTGTTAGCTTCCTTCCCCTCTAGCATCGACAAGCTTTATTCTTTATTTTGGGAAATAAGACAGTTTTGGTGGTGGTGATTATATTCATTCAGTGTGTTGGTGGAACTTTGGCACAGGTCACGAACAAGGTGGTAAAAAGACTTTGAAATGGATCTGGTGTTCTTCAGAAAGCTGCTATAGACATTAAAGGAGAGATCTGCTGTGGCTCACTGTAGCCATGTTGAGAAGATAGTGCAGCTGTTGGCACCAGCTGGAGTTTCTTAACTGTGAAAAATCTATGCCAAGTAAATATTTTGCATTGCCATGCCAGGCAAGAGAGTATACAAATAAGTAAGGTCCTCAGATGCCAATCACAAGAAGTTAATGGAGTTTGTCGTGCAGAACTGGTATTTTGTTCAACAAACCCCAAACAGGACAAAAGGAAACAGTGTCAATTTTTCTTTTACATAAAAGAACTGCTTTGCAAAGACTTTTACTGAAGATCTTAATAATGGGGTACTTTATGTAAAGCATGAAATAAAAATACAAATGTTTGTATTACTATAATAAAGATACTGGGGGAATGTTCTACTTAGAAACACAACATTTCACTATTTAAGGTTTTGTTACAAGCATAACATCTCTTGTTGTACCCATGTCATTAGATTTGTTTTTCTCTTTTTGATCTAATTTAAGGAAAAGTTTTAGTTCATACAGCATTCTACCCCCAAGTTGGTATCACTGCATCTCCCTTAGCATAGATAGGATCATAGAATCACAGAATGGTTTTGGTTGGAAGGGACCTTAAAGATCATCTAGTTCCAACCCCCTGCCACGGGCAGGGACACCTTCCACTATACCAGATTGCTCAGAGCCACATCCACCCTGGGCTTGCAGCATGTCTTGTGTGTGTTTCTTAGTTAATATTCTATTCATAGAACTCCTTGTTGCATAATAGTTTTGGTTTATAATTTAGACTCTTGGAATTGCTGAGATTTAACAACACAGAAGCGCACAGGTTTTATTTTTTCTGTTTGTTATTTTTTTTGGTGTTGGTACTTGGTTTGGTCCAAGGCCAGTTGTAAACATGTTCCTTCAATATAGCAACCTGAACTACAGCTGCAAACAATCTGTATTGCTTCACTCTCCCACCAGTAACAATTTGCCTTGTGTAGAACCACCTTCACCTGTCTGTTCATGTTTGAGTAACAGTGCATCATTGAGGCAGTGATTTAGTTATTTTTTAATGAATGATAAGTAAAATCTGCCACAAAGATCCATTTCATATAACCAGGTCCTGATTGCTGCATCAAGATATGGAATAAACCAATCATGGTATTTGATCTTGGTAGGATTCAGCAACTAAGTAATATATTTACTGTACCTAGACTTCCGAGAAAGATTTAATTTATGTTTGACTGTTGTTTTGTGTCTCAAGGGGGACAGTAGTAACTCCTGGTGAATAATCTGAAACACAGTGGAAAGGTCCAGGATCGTAGGAACAGGTCTCTCCTCTTGGTAAAATAAACTATGAATCTGTATGTCGCAGTAGCAGGTTTTACTGTGTGTTCTGATCTGAATTTGGGCTGGATTAGCATAAGATACAGGAGAGAGTGCCATTAATTGGAACAATTGTCAATAATTATTGATCTGCCACTAATGAATTCAATGTGAATTCATAGAACTTGGAACAAAAAGTAAGATACTCCAATAAGAAATGCCCTCATTCTTGTGAAGGCAGTTTTCATTAACGCCACCACAGGGAAGCAGGAGGTATATGCTTTGAGATTACACGGTCCATTAAGACCAAATAAATAGACTACCACCACCACCTTCACCCCAAAAAACTCAAGATACAAGACTTCTTGCAGCTGATCTTCTGAGCATAATATGGGCAAGTTATCTGTGGAACAAGAGATTGCTATTTTCTTTCTAAGTTTCTGTATTTTCTTCCAGCAGTTTACAACTTGTGACTGCCAGCTTTTGCTTCTTCCTTCTAACCATGTGTACCTTTGTTTAGTGCCTGTGAGGGAGGTGAGAGGGAGGTGGTTTACCATGGGAGGAAGGAATCGTAGTGAGGAAGGCTCAGGAAAAACATCATATTGCCGAAGCCTAAACCTGTTTTATTTTCTCAAATAACTTGATGAGTTTTAGAATCCTGTAAAGTTCTCATTTCCTTCATGGTGGATAAATTCAATTACCATTAAGCAGCCACTAATACACTGGCTTTTACTTTTTAGGTTTTACCTTATTGGTGGAGGAATCCCTATCATAGTCTGTGGAATCACAGCAGCAGCAAACATCCGAAATTATGGCAGCAGACCTAATGCTCCTTAGTAAGTACCATGTAACTGAGACCTCTGGCATAAAATTTCATGGCTTTGCTTTTCTGAGTACTTGTTGCCATTAATTATGATTCTTCCAGAAAATGTAACACATTTCAAAGTACCATCATGAACTGATAAAGCATAAGTGACTTGTGAGAAGACATTAATTTTGATTCTTTGGTTTTTCTTTTCCAGTTGCTGGATGACTTGGGAGCCTAGCTTAGGAGCATTTTATGGACCAGCTAGCTTTATAATTTTCATCAACTGTATGTATTTTCTCAGCATATTCATACAACTAAAACGTCACCCTGAACGTAAATACGAACTTAAGGAACCTGTTGAGGAGCAGCAGCGTCTGGCCACCAATGAACACGGAGAACTGGCTCATCAAGATTCGCTGTCGGTGTCACTAGTTTCCACATCGGCTTTGGAGAACGAGCACAGTTTTCAATCACAGCTGCTGGGAGTGGGCCTTACTTTGCTTTTGTATGTTGCTCTGTGGATCTTTGGAGCTCTGTCAGTTTCCCTGTATTATCCCATGGACCTGATCTTCAGCTGTTTTTTCGGGGCAACGTGTTTAAGCCTCAGTGCCTTCCTTATGGTGCACCATTGCATTAACAGAGAAGATGTAAGGCATGCTTGGATAATGACTTGCTGCCCTGGAAGGAGTACATATTCAGTGCAAGTAAATGTGCAGCCGTCCAGTTCCAGTGGAACCAATGGAGAAGCCCCTAAGTGCACTAACAGTAGTGCAGAATCTTCATGCACAAATAAAAGTGCATCAAGCCTAAAAAATTCTTCTCAAGGTTGTAAGCTAACTAACCTGCAAGCTGCAGCAGCTCAGTGCCACCCTACTTCTCTGCCATTGAACACAGGTCCCCAGCTTGATAACAGCCTCACTGAACATTCAGTGGATAATGATATCAAAATGCATGTAGCTCCCTTAGAGGTACAGTTTCGGACAAACGGGCACCCAAGTCGGCACCATAAGAACAGAAGCAAGGGGCATCGAGCTAGCAGGCTTGCAGTGTTGAGAGAATACGCGTATGATGTTCCCACAAGTGTGGAAGGAAGTGTGCAAAACGGCTTACCTAAAAGTCGACAAAGCAACATTGAAGGGCATTCAAGGAGCCGAAGAGCCTACTTGGCATATAGAGAACGTCAGTATAACCAGTCCCAACAAGACAGCAGCGATGCTTGCAGTACACTTCCAAAAAGTAGCAGAAATACTGAAAAAACAATAGCTACCAACAACAGAAAAGATATTCTAAGGAAACCCATAGCGGTTGAGCTCGAAAACCAACAAAAGTCTTATGGCTTAAATTTAGCCATTCAGAATGGACCACTTAAAAGCAGTGGACAGGATGGACCCTTGCTCACTGCAGACGGTACTGGTAATATTAGAACTGGGTTATGGAAACATGAAACTACTGTGTAGCGGCATAATTCATTGAGGGATGAATCAATACGAACTGTGATTACACATTCCTTAAAGTTGTTAACACTTTTGAAGACTGTTTACAAACTCTAGGTACTTTACGCAGGGAGGGAACAAAGATAATCTGCCAAGCAAAAGATTGTGTGCTTTATTATCTTTGCTGTTCTTACAAAGATGAACTGTTGGTATTTTGTGACTTTTTTTGGAAGCATCAGTCTTGGGGGATGCAGAACACAACTTTGTACATTTTTATTTTTTACCTGTAACCCTGCAGATGTGTCCACAACACATTTCAAATTTGTATTTAAATGTATAATAAATAGTATTTTCCCCAGCAGCCCAATGTTGCACTTATTTGTTGGATTTTGAGGATTACTGCTCTGAAGCATCATCTTGATCTTACTACTTCAGTATTTGAAACATACGAGTTTCAGTTACTAAAGAAAATATTTAGTGACTGAAATAGACAATGCAAATAGCTCAATTAATTGCATAATGTCTAGAATTTGTTTGAAATGAAGCTATATTTTAAAGAGACTTCTAATATACAAGCAACTTGTTTACTTCAAAATCATGGTCTGCTACTTGTTGCTTAAGGTTATATTTTCAGGTGGCTGCGGCTTATTTTAGTGCATATGTAGAGTTTTAGTTTACTTGGTAATGGTTTTGGATAATACTTTATTCTGCCCTCTTAATAACCTGGCCAGGATGTTATTGTTAATTTGTTTTAATTCGTAATTGAGAAGGTTATGAATGTTCACAGACAATAGGTGCTAATTTGTGAAGGTTGTCAGTACCTACCAGGAAAAACTCAGCTGTAATTGTGTGTGAGAATAATAGTGCAGGTGTTTTGATGAGATAATCTCTTAGGAGTAGGATCGATGTGCAAAATCAGGGGCTTCAAGTTCATTGTCTCTGTAGAAGCCGGCTCTTGAGGGAGCATTTTGAGTTGCAAGTTCACTTTTACTCACATATATGTGACAATTTGCAGAATAATCTTCTCCCATCCTGTACAGCATCTGTGTCAAAAAAGTTCCAGTAGTAGAGCTATGTTAGTAACGTTAACAGTTTTAAAAAGCATATGAATTCCTGCAGTTAGGAATGGCTAAAATGTGTAATGTTTTGCATTGTTGTAAATCTTGAAAAATGAAAGTTGTAGTTTAAAGTGTGAATTTGTAATAGTAGTACAATTACAAAAACCAGTGTCAAAGTCAAATTTTTATGTAAAATGAAATATTACAGAATAGATTATTTTTTAAATTACAAGTATAGCTTTCTATACTTGTTGGCACCTTAATGTAAGCAATATCATATTTTGTGTCATCCTGCTGCAGTGACAAATTTAAGGTTTTAGTTGCAGAGAAATGCTTAGGGCTTTATCTGTTTCTGGTACTGATTCCTGTCTTGATAAAACCATGTGTATTAAATTACAAAAAATACTTCTGTATAATCTAGTACTGATAACTTCTAAGCAACAGGTGGAGTTGGATTGTATATACCTGGCTCCCTGGTTACCTCCTTCAGACTTAACCCTGTTGGATATTTTAGTTAAGTGTAACTGTTTGGGTACAGGTACAGGTCTAACATTCTCAGTACTGAAATGTGTTAAATAACTTACAATGTGAGGAACTTGGGTATGCTTAGCTATTGCTTGCCAGGTTCACTGCACTCTACTGATTGGTTTGATAATCTGAGCTAATCTTGAATGCATTGTACAAACCTCTCCAGAAAGACAGTGAACCCAGATTTGGGTTCTGCTTGTTGTGAGTAGCTGCCATTTAAGAATTCCTCAAGCAACATTCTGACAAGTGGATGACTCAGTTTTGATTGCTATTCTACTTTACTGGCTTCAAGAGAGGCTGCTTTTAGCTTGTAACTGACCTTACAGCTACTGTTTCAATAGATGCAGGAAGGAATCATGTCAAAGTGCCGTTATCTGTAATCTCTGGGAATGCATTAAATAACATGTAGGACAAGTCACTTTTGGATTAGACATCTTTGAAGAAAGTGTCTTTCCTAACCAAAAAGGTAAGTTTTCCCCCTTTCGATGAACATCTGAGTACAAAATTCACACATGAAACATCATCGCTTGGGCATATGATTAGGACATGAAGGTGCAAGTGTTTTGGTTTTACTGAATGAAGAGCTTTCTGTATTACTGTTTGCTCATAGGTAAAGTGCTGTTGAAACACCTGAAATGCTAACTGTTTTACATTTGTGTAGGTTAAGAAATACTTCAGCTGTTGGGAGGAGGGAGGATGAAGCAATTACCTTCCATTAAGTTCTTTCATTTTTACCATATCCAGTTTTGGCCAGTTCTGTGCTAACACTGTGCTGCTTGCCAAAGCTGTTTGTCTTCTGTATTATGTTGGTGCTTTTTCACATCCCTGAGCAAACTGAAGGATTGGGGTTTTTTCAGTGTGTTTTGGCTGCCTTTTTTTTTTTTTTTTTGGGGGGGGGGGGATGGTGTGGTGTCACAGTTTCTAGATCTGAGAGGGATTAATAACATAGACATGTGAGAAATACTGTTGTCTGTATAGTTCGAAGTTAACATAGCAAACATGAAGAAAGGTTCCAATTTAAATAAACACCCTGTGAATTTTTAATCCCTGCTTTCAAAAACTGATGTTTTTCATTGTAGAAATGATTTTGGTTTTAGTTTAAACTAGGTAACAACCTTGCATCTGAAACAGAAGCACCTGAACATCCTCGAGTAGAGGTGAGGAAGGCAGCTGATGCTGCTATTCACCAGCCTGGCCACTTCTTAAAGCCCTTGCAGAACTGGTGCTGGTGACTGGGCTCTGCTGCTGACTCCAGCCATGGCTTTCCAACATATCACACACCAAACCTTGACTCAGGTTGGGGATAGCTCTGCAAAGTCAAAAGACAGCAGCTAAAAGTTCAGTGCAGAGATGGAACATGCCAACTTCCTTAAAGCGTGCTTTACAGCCTGTTGAGTGCATGTCTAATGTGACTTTCATTTAAAAACCCAACCGACCTTCAGTCACTGCAGCAATCTGCAATGACGATTGAAGTCCTTGAAAATGAATCAAAATGAAATCCCAAAATACACAATTTGAGTATACAAATGAAGCACTTAGCTGAACATAGCATTTTGTCTGAAGTTGGCATCTACTCAGTATAATAGTGCTTATAAATCTTATATTCTTCAAGCTCTGCGGTGAAGTAGATGAGGCAAGACTTAATTTTAGTTTCCATTAGATGGAGATTCTTGAAATCTTGTGCTTGATGCCTAAGTGCTGAATACAGTAAAAATTCAATGCACCTCTTCCAAGGCGACATCTCTGAAAAGCCTCAAATCCAATAGTTAACTTGCATGAATTAAAGAGAATGCTAAATGTTAGAATAACATAAAAGTTTAATTTTTTGAGTGGCTACAGTTGCTTCAGAGAACATACTTTTCATAAAATGAGTAAAGACACAGTAGACAGAAACATTTATACAAAAGTAAAAAGTAATCCTAAGTGTAAATTTCAGCTTTCACATGGAGGAGGAGGAGGACTTCAGCCCCCTTGCGAAGCCTAAAAGGCCTGCTGTGACGAGTCACTCTGTAATTTTTGATGATTGTTTTATATAATACATACCTGATGTTTTCACTTCATCCACCTAAGGTTCTCTTTGCTATGATTACTCTTTTTTTCCCAACACAGAGTCATAGAATGTTTTTTTCCCCACGACCAGGGACACGGACACCAGGATGAAATGTTCTTCTTGCACCCTTTTTCCTAATCTCTTACCTGCTATGAGTTAATACGATGTTAGATTGTTGACTGCAGCCTCCAACACCCTTCTACATCATTAAGCTGTAGAGCAGCTTCCTGAACTGTCTGCAGCAATTTCCCTTTGAATCATGGTCAGTACATAAGTCTTCTCAGACAGAGTCCAAATCTGAGCAGCAGAAAACTGCAGTAGGCAGAGGCATGATTTCATTTGTTAGCTGGTGATGTTGGATGCAACTAGCAAAATGGGAACTGGTAGGAACGATGGGTTTCCTCCTAGAGGGAGGAGGCAACCCCAGTAACATCCAAAACTGCTGAGGAAGATACTGAGAATAAATGCTTGGATGTAGTGTGTATCTAATCATTAACAGGCTTATCTAAAGGTGCTAGACATGCAACTTGCACAGGCTCTCACAGGAGCTGTAATACGTGAACTTGTCGATTCTGTTGACGCAGAACACAACCAGATCAGACCGCAGTTTAATCTTCAGCTCTGATGGGCTGAAGACACACAGCTATTACAAATTTTCTAGTTAAACAACTTGAGTTTAATCATGGCATGATAGCTACAAGGCAGATAACGTTTGCAAGGGAGAAGAGTTTGATGCCAAATGGGAAAGGATAGTTGAAAGGCCATCTTTTATTAAATATGATTGTAGATGTAAAAGTACCTATTTGCAGGCCATTACAGTCCTAAGATTTGATAAGCAAAAATGGGTGCAATCACTGGTACCTTGTTCCTTCCACCTGTGGATGATGAACAGCCCAGCAGGTTGCCCTGGAATGCTGCTGTGCTGTGGTGATGTCCACAGTTGGCCAATACCTCTCAATTGAAAGAGGATCAAGATGTGAGAGCAATCACTAGTGTATCGACACATTCCTGGTGAGGACTGGCATTATCTCACCCTGTGTGTAAAAGCCACGTGGGTATCTCATGTCTCAAGTTTTCTCTGAACTGCGTGGACAGTGCAAATGGGCTTTTAAAGTGCCTAGAATAGAGTTAGAACAGCCTTATGTTACCACCTTCAGAGAAATTCCATCTTTCCGTCTAAAACAGAGTCAGCTGCATGGTGATAACTGCAGGTGGAGTAAATAGTGTCAGCTGTAATCGCCAATACATGGCTCGATAGCTTTCCTGTCACCCTCAGCAGCCAACAAAGAAGTGAACCTGGTTGTGTCCATCTTTTTGACAGTGTTTCATACTTCATAAGATTTTTCCTTGTCCATCTTCTATGTAAGTGAGCTACTTGGCAAGTCATTCTTTAAATGTAGCAGCTCAACCAATGTGATTTCCCCTTCCCTGTTACATTGTCCACCTTATATTCAGTTTTCCTGGATGCAAGAACAGGAAGGAAATGCAGTTTAATATTTGATCATTAGTTTTGTAATGAACTGTTGAGTAACCTCATTATAGAGGAAAGTATGAGAAATTGGAGGAGTTCCCTAATCCTGTCCAGTATTTCTGATACAGGAGATGGGAAGTTTTAATCTAATGCTTACCAGAAAAAAAACTGCACAAAATGATGACAACAAAAAGACCCTAACCCCCACAACACCAAAAATACCCACAAACCAGACCTAAGCTCGCAAGCAACAA